TATCTCAATCAACATGTTCAAAATAAACCAAAGCAAACTTGTGATAACTTACCTGATTAATGTTTGAGAGGATTCACCCAGTTCTCGCCACTGAAGCAGATTAGATGCATGTGTTATTACACTTGTGATATACTGATTGCCATTTTGTGTACTTTTAGTCCTGGAGATCTATGTTGTAGGCATAGACTGTTAAGCCTGGATAGTAATATTATAGAAGTAAATTATATCTAGTATAATATAAATATTTTAAAATATAAATGACACTAAATTATATTTATCATTATTGGAAATAAAAATGGTACAATTAAGTTATAAAAAAACAAATTATAAAATTTAAAGCAGCTTATTAATAATTGTCATACCTTTTCCTACTTTTATGTCAAATGTAAGAGGTAATAGAGAAAGAACATCTTGTGTCATTTAGTATGCTGTAGTCTTATTACTGGTAAAAATCAGATCTTCCTTTTTTTTGGATGAACCTGTAAAAGAGAAATTACAACATGGATAAACACAATGAATATCATATCTAATCCTCAACTAGTTATCACCCCAATCCTAACCTCATTTTTTAAAACCAATTTCTAAATATGTTTTCAGAACAAATGTATGTTAAGTCTACCTATTTTAATGTTCAGAATACTAATATTTATCAAAACTACCTCCAGTTGAAATTCAAGATACCTTTATAAAAAGTTATTATGACTTTAACTTTGTGTAGTTGTTATTTAGGCTATTTGTTTAATTTATATTATTTAAATTAATATTTCATGCCTTGTTTTAAAAAGATCTACAAGTCTACTTTTGATTTTATGGTATAATCTGATAAAAATTAGGCTGCTACATCTGAAAACTAAGGTCAATGCAAAGACTTCCAAATTAACAATAAGTAGGCTTGTATAGATATTGTATATAATTACTAGCCCAATAGTATTACTCTACGACCAATGTATAGGACTTAATGTATCAGACCTAATTCCTATAATTAGGCCTACTAATTATTAAATAATTAATAGATCTAACACTAACAGTAGGATAATTACAATTATGGGCCTTAGCTGACATAGAGAGCTGAATACTTAACTAAACATTTTTAAAAATTATAGTAAGCTAAGTGAGTTGAATTATTTTATTTAGATAGGCCTAGGCTATAATATACTCTATAGCAGTCTATAGTGATAGTCGCAGAGTAGCGTATATCATAATAATTTCAAATTAAATCTATAAGCAACATTAAGCCTCTGCCTTGTTGCCTAATTAAAAACTAAAGCCTATTAAACCTTTTCCTAATAAGCCTTTGGCCTAATTTAAATAACAGCCTATAGGCCCTATAATATATAAATAGGCTAAACTACTTGTAAGACCTAATAGACTAATGACTAAGAGAGTGCTAGGCCCCTTTCCGATATTATATAATAATTGCTTGATCGATATCATAATATCTAACACTGATTACATTAATTTACATAAGGCTATACCATCTTAACTATGACTAATACTTTTTCTACTAATAAAATAGGCTATCTCTAGTTTAAACTTAGGCCTAATAGTAATTAGTAATTATAATTAAGTAGGCCATTTTATGACATTTATAAAATTTTTAGTAGATGGCCGAGCCTTAAATTTAAATACTAAAATAGATTTAGCATACTATGCCTATTGTTGGTCTAATTAATAATTTATTTTTCATTTAGAATTTTAGATCTCCAAAAGATAGGCCTAGGTCCTAAATAAATTATTTTTATTTTATTGAGCCCGCCTTAATGTATAAGATGTGATCTGTTTTTTTAATAAAAATAACCCTACACAATACTAGTGATTTAACTAATATCTAGTACTACTTTAGGCCTATTTAATTATTTATTAGTAGGCTGAATAAAATCTAAAGCTATAAGGCCTACTTTATTACTATATTTGCCTATTATTCTATAATTAATTTATGTTTTCTTTCAATACATAGTAGATCCTGTGGTACCTCAACATTCTAGTGCCTCGACATAGATCTCTACCAGATTTTTAAAATACGAGCAGTTGAGCGAGTAATATTTCGCTTTGAGTTACGCGCAAAATTTGAGATACCGTATTTCACAGTTCATGTAAAAGAAATACCCCCAAAAAGATGCAAATGATTATTTATCGAAGCTATTTAATTATAATAATAAGCGTCTTACTCATATTTGCAGCATTATGAAAGGGAGAAAGAAATAAACTTCCTAAACAAGTTTTATTTTAAGCTACCAGCACATGAAAGTGACTTAAATTAAGCATGACAAAAAAGAAGAGAAAAGCTGTCACGAAAATTAAGCTAACGTAATAATTTTATTTAGTATTTATTTAGGCCTTACGTTTAAGTCTTAAGTGCAACAATGCTCAGTGAATTTTAGCCATTAATGGCATTAAGTTTAGGAATGATGTGTACTTGTGTAGCTTTAACTTTAGTAATACTAATAGTATATTTTTAGACCTAAGCCTAATCTTGTAGATATAGATCTACAAACAATTTGAAATAGAAGAGATTTAAAATTGAGTAGATCTAGACTTCTAGATCTAGATCCTAAATGCTAAAGGACAGCTATGCCACAGAAATAATTATCTTTCTATCTAGTCAATCTAGACTAGATCTAGCTACTAAGCTAGTGCTACTGAAAAATTACTAGATCTAGATTTTCTAGATCTAGATCTAGATTCTATCATTTACTTTCGACGCACTAGGCATACTTTTAACTTTTTCTCTCTAGTCAATAATGTAGATTTCTAGATCTAAATGTAAATCCTGATCTTGTAGATTTGATTTACGTAGGTTTTACATCAGTGTAAATCGTTGATCAAGTAGATCTAGTCTAGATCTGGACTAGCTCTCGTCAAAACAAAATGGCTGGAATATTAGCTTCAAAACACCTACAGTTTATGCTTTCCTAATTGTGGAGAGCATGTTTAATTATTGTTTTATTTTCAACGACAGTGTTGACTGAGAAACCACCAAAGGGTTTTATTCTCAGCGACACAGTCGGAGAGAGGCTCAACGATTCTGTCGTTGAGATGATCCGCATGGGGTGATCTAGTAGAGTCTAGGTCTGATAGATATTAGATAAGTCTGTGATGAGAGTTGACTTGAGTGATGACTGGCCTGGAGGAGAGTTGTCAGTGGTGAGTGGAGCAGATAAAATTTTACAGCATTTTTTAAATTATTTTACTTAACTGCAGATCTAGACAAGAAACATTTGGATAGATTGATTTACCTAGTCTAGATCTAGATCTAGAAGTCAGTCATATTTTCATTTTAAAGGTTACTTTCTTATCGTGTTAGATCTATGGTAGTAGATGTAGCTAGGCCTAGTCTAGAGTTATATTTCGTTTGCAGTTCTTTTCCGGTTCAGAAAGTTAAATACCGGTAGGCAAGAGATAAATTTTAAAAATATCAGTTCAAAGTCCAGGGTCGTGTCCCTATTTAATGACAATAATTATAAAGTGAGAGGGACTATAAAGTTGACATGTCTGTACACATTAAAAATGTATAAAACTCAATCAGAATTAAAATCTATAGGTAATATAATTTATTATGTATCTGTTTCAACAGTTTTATTAGTCTACTCTACAACATAAACTTGCCGTGTAGGCTAAACTAAAACATAAATGGAATGGGGGAAGGGGGGGGGGGGGGTTTGGAGAAAAGGAGTGTGTGTTGTGCATTTAAAAAAAGATAAAATAAAAATCTGCGTCTGATTTACCCTCTTATATGAGTTTGAATGTAGTTTTATGAGGGGGGTGCAAATCGAAAGTTTGAGGGGGCGGTGCAAATCAAAAGTTTGTCCCCGGGTAAAAATTTGAACCTCCCCCTCCCCCCCCCCTCCATGAGACGATCCTACTGATCGCCGTAATACAGTTCTCTATATTTCCAGGAATCATCAACACATAGTTCTACAAACCATAACAAAATAATGTTGTCATAACTTAGGGATTTTAAAATAAATTATGGAAATCGTCGTATCAAAGATGAAATTGTTTTTAACATCTCCACCACAATTTATTGTTAACATTCTGCTAATTTGTAAAAGAATTATGAATATGTAAGCCAGTAGCGTAGGAGGGTGGGGCGGGGGTGCGGACCGCACCGGGTGACACCATTTAGGGATGTCACCATTCTTTTTCGTTTCTAAATTACTTTTTTTTTAAGTTAATTACAATAAAAATTGATCAATAGGACTCTACTTAATGTTGATCGATCGATATCATCAAATATTTTAGAAAGAAATCGCTGTTTTATAAAACAAAAGGTTCAAATTTGAGTGGGGGGGGGGGGGTAGGCTTAAGTATAACGTCTTGTTAGAGAGGGTCTGTATTTTTGTGACGATTGGGAGGGAGCGAGGTAAAAATCGTTAATAAAAAGCGTGACATCATTTATGGATTAATCTAATTATAGATGAAGTTAAGATAAAGGACACAGGCCTAGTTAATTATTTTCCACATCGGCTGTATAGCAGCAAAGTAAGATAAACCTAATGAATAGGTTGAAGGTCAAGTAACCAGCAACCCCCCTCCCCCAAAAAACAGCTGTCACGTTTTATTACAGATATTGGAATGTATGTATGTATATATATATATATATATATATATATATATATATATATATATATATATATATATAAATTTTTACTGAGGATATCCACTTTGCTGTTAATTTTAATACTATTATTTAAAGAAAGAAGCACAAGTTGATAACATCTCCAAGGGGATGACACCATATTATTTAGTTCATATGGCCTATTATTATGTAAGCAGTGTTGCATAGTTAACCAAAATGTGGGTGCTGCTGGTGTTTTAGTTGCTTCAATCTTTGATTGTGGTGCAATTTTTCTGTGCTGTATAGGTGGTTTATTCTATGACTACATTCTAAATCTAAATCCCCAATGAGCTATAAATTAATTACTTGTGGTGCATCCTGTATAAACTTATTTTATATTTGTATATGCCTACAATTCAATATAAAGTCAACAAACTGAAGATTGAAATAAATAAGTAATGTTTAATGTAAAAAAAAATGTAACATTTTTTTATTTTACAAAGTTTAAACACATCCATTAGTAGGAAGTTATAGTTAGGAGGTTTGGAATGACAACAATAGGGCATAAGCAAATATTATATCATACCTGTATTCAACAATACAAAATTATAAGGGCAACACTAAAAAGTTATTTAAAAGTTAATTTTGTTACTAGAATAGTTAGGCTAAAGCAGATACAAGTAAGAAAATAGTTTATAATTGATTTTAAAAGGTCAATTAACTAACATATTTGAATGACGTTTATAAATGAATTCTTATGTTTTGGAATGGCAATCCAACTTTTTATGCCACATTAAATGTAAAAACTTTTCATTATTCCTAATATCTTTAACAGCACTTTTAAAAAAATTTATATGCAGTCCAAAATAAAATATGTCTACCATAATTAGTAAATCATTTTGAATCTCTTGAACATGCATAATTACATCAAAATTTTCAAGTTTTAATCAGTTAATGTCTAAGAATTGAAGTAAATGTTCCTAATAGAGGAACTGTTAATCACTTTTAATTTTTGTCAAGTCATCAATCTTCTTCACTTGCTTTCTGATCTTCAAAAGGTCAGAGTACAGGTTTCTGTTTAAAATTTGTGATGCACACACCAAGCCCATGGTAAGAGCAGAGGTAAATCCACAGGTCATTGTGTCTTGACCTGTCATATGAGAATCAATATACAAAACGTAAATACAAAAGGTAAATAAAAAACAATGTTAAAAATTGCATAGGGTAAAAAATAAATTCTAAATTGTCATATATATATGTTCAACTTCTGATTGTTGTAGTGTGGGTAAAAGGAGATTAACATTAACATATAAATTTAACATAATTACTAAATTAGTACTGAGGTAGCCTCACTCTCAAATTATTCAGTAATTTGTGCTTGATTGCACTTTGATCAGGCATATATTATCATCTGAGCAGAGGTTTAAATGGATTTATGTTTAGGCATCTCATTAAAACTAATTACATGACTCAATTCTCTGCTTGTTTCTCCATACTCCTTTGTACTTAATTTAGTATATGATGTAAAATTTAAACAAGCCCAACTTTGTGTATGAACTGGACTGTGGTCTCCAGATCAGCGGGGTCGCCCATATAGTATTTCCTTGAGTGGGGTGTATAGGGGCCAGTGTTTGGATCGCCCCTGGCTATATAATGAACAGTCTTGAAGGACATGCTCCGTATTCTCCGGGGCCTTGCCACAAGGACAAATTTCGCCACACCCAATATATAGTTTTTTTATGCATGTGCTGTTATAGTCAGTTGTGGCCTGTTCTGAGTCTAAAGATTATGTATTGTTGTTTTTGTGTCAAATTATAATATCCATCATCTTTGTTGTAGTGAGGGTGTGTGTAAGACCACATTTGTGTTTGTTTTTTATGATTCTTTTGATTTCTTTTGGATGTAGCGAGATTTCTGGTTGTTTTTTCTTTCCCCCAATTTTTGCCAGCTGGTCCGCGATCTCATTCCCTTGAATCTGGCAGTGGCAGGTATTTTTTTAGCCTTTTTGTTTGAGTCAAATTACTGTTATTTGTAATTATGATGTAATAAATTTATCAATTTGCTCTGTAAGAAGGTATTTAGATACCAAAATAATACAGTAATTTCAATTTCCCCAAAGTGCTAAAGAGTTGTAGAAAAACCAAAACCAAGATAACCCCTTAATTTACAAGAAATAACTTATAAGGGGCCAAACAAAGATAAATTCATTATTTCAAAAGAAAACAAAAAGCTGCAACCTTACCAGTTAAAAACAAGCCTGGTATATCTGTATCAGGCCTCAGTTTGCTTGCCACATCTGCTGTAAACCTAGCTTTCCCTTGTGCTAGGCCATACATTTCCCCTTGAGGGGCCGCTAGGTAATACTGGTTGGTCACTGGTGTTCCTACTTCCATATAAACTTTCTGCAAGGGAAAACAAACATTTGTAGTTAGCACAAACATTCGTAGTTAACACAAACATTTGTAGTTAACACATACATTTGTAGTTAACACAAACATTTGTAGTTAACACAAACATTTGTAGTTAACACAAACATTTGTAGTTAACACAAACATTTGCAGTTAACACATACATTTGCAGTTAACACAAACATTTGTAGTTAACACAAACATTTGTAGTTAACACAAACATTTGTAGTTAACACAAACATTTGTAGTTAACACAAACATTTGTAGTTAACACAAACATTTGTAGATAACACAAACATTTGTAGTTAACACAAACATTTGTAGTTAACACAAACATTTGTAGTTAACATAAAATAAAACCACACCTTTCCATCAAGTTGAGGAAACAGATCAACACATTGTTGCCATAGCTGACGTCCTATGATATCTTTTATTCCTTCATAACGATCTCCCCTGTGGCGTAGTTTTTCATCTTTCCATTCCTTGAACCAATCCCAGTTGGCCAATGTAATTACTAAGACAGAACTCTTTCCTGTATGGAAAATATAATTATGATTAAGAATGTTCCATATATTTACAGTATTTTTACTTTGTGAAAATATAAATGACAGAAACTAACCAGGATGTTTTTTTTCCCATTCGGTATCCTTGGCTGATGGGAAAGAAATGTAACCAAATGGTATTTGAACATCTTCCATTTCATCAGCTTTCAAATTCAAAAATTCTGACATGGTTTTATTGATGTCATCACTAAAAATAAAGAAAATTAACTTTCAAATAAGAAAGAATAGTTGTAGTTTGGTCTAAGCATGATGTGTTACATAAAACAGAAAACTAACCTCTTAAGACATCAATTAGAATGAATAGTTTTTGTAAGTGAAAATTAATTTAATATTCATAAAATGTTCAACGGAATTTAAATGAATTAGATGAGGGGGGATTGGGAAGGAAAGGGAAGAAAGTGAGAGGCTACATATTATAAAAACTGATCAATTTACTTAATCTTGACTATGCATAATGAAATTAAGACATTGCTGTTATGACGTTTCAAAAAAATAAAATTGCATTTGTAGGGAGGGGTGGGAGAAAGAGCTTGCAGTGTGAAATCATTTTAGGATGTGAGGAGTCTAACTGACTTTTAGTGATGATGATTAGGAGGAGGGGAACATGTCAAGATTAATGGAAGACCATATTGCAATAATGGTTCATTTTAAAAAAACTACATGTACAGCTTTAAAATAGTTACTCTAGCTATCTCTTACGTATTGTAAACCCATGTGTTTCCAGCAGGCAATTTGAGTTCACTTGGGCTGCCCTCTACTCCAATAAATGCAGTAATGAAAGAACAACTGGGTCCAACTTTTTCGATCAATGGATATATACCTAAAAACAATCAAATCAAAGGCTGTATGTATCAATGTACATTTAAATTGTGATTTTCAATCACTTGATGTTTATATTTTTTTATGCTATGTAAATAACTATTTACTATACTGTTCCAATAACATCAAGTGTCTAAAAAAAGACCCTAAATGCAAAAAAAAAACCTTACAAGAAGATCTGGCAACACTTTCTGGCAACAATGTTTTGAATGTGTTTACAACACCTGCATCAGATATGATATATCTAGCAAACACATCCATTTCATTTTTTCCAACTCTGACACCTGGAGAGATATTTGTTAAAGAATTTTGCTGACAATGGAAAGTGTTTTAATTTCTAGATGGTATAGTGAGATGAGTTTTGACTGTTCTATAGTTAAAGATTTTTTTTAAATGTATGTTTCAAATAGTTTTTATACAAGAAAAAAAGAACAGCTCCTATAAATTATTGAAATACTACTATACTCTTAACAAAGGACTAATCAAATTTTTGAATAATATAGATTATTTTATAAACATGATAAATTAATTAGCATATTCTAAAGTTTAAAGTAGTTTAATTAAAACAACAACTCACCAACAGCCCTGCCCTTCTCGTCACACAAAATTTTAGTCACTGGAGCCTGGACCAGAACTTTCCCTCCCTCTTTCTCAATAGACTGGATCATGTGAAATGGAATTTCAGAGGTTCCAGCCCTGGGGTAATAGGCTCCCTTCTGGTAGTGTGTGATTAATATAGCATGAAGAAAAAATGGCACGTCTTTAGGAAATATACCTGAAGGAGAAATTGTTTTCATTTTATATGTGGATTGCTTATAAAAAGTACAAATCTCAATGACTGTTGTAAACATTTAAATATCTTTTAGACAGATTGAATTAAACCTATGTATTATTAACCTAACTCTTGTTCAAACCCTATTTTTACGCTTAGTCAGATATCCTGGCTCAACCGTGAAACCGATATAAAAAATCTACTAACTTTTAAAAATAATTATTAAAGAAGCATGTTCACCATTATTTGAGTACTCTTATATCAATCAATAGAAGCTTTTACTTTTTTTTTAAACTGAGACATAACCCACCATAATCTCCACATATGTATGACAAAACCAGCTTGAGCTCCTTGTTGCTAGTCAGCTCATCCAGAAATTCCTGTAGTGTTTTCTCAGCGTACCTTTTCCTATAGCATCTAAATACTATTTTGTACAGGCCTGTTACCACCAAGAAGCGAACCAGGATCTTGGGTAGCACTTTCAACATGACAATACCATAAAAAGATGAGCTTGCATCCTGAAAATATATATTTAGCACTTTTCACGATCTACTCTGAGACTTAATAAAACTAAAAGGGATTAAAACGTATTGCTTCAAACAATGAAGATAGATCTTTAGATTAACCCCTATATAATGTCCTAAAATCCAAATGAATTAATTTTTTTCTCTGCTTTTTGTGTGTTAAATCTTATAGCTGGATTAGATACAAGTTCAAAAACTAAATTTGTAACTGTTTTTAGATTAACAAATTAGTAACCTTAATAAGCTCCATATATTTGAGTATAGCATCTTTTTCTTGAGGGAAGAGATTGATCAGATTTTGGACGTACTCTTTCTCACCAGCCTTCATTTTGAACAATTTAGCATTTGCTGGATCTCCCATAGCAACCTAGAAATGGTTACAGGCTGTAAAATTTCCTTAATAAGCAAGAAAAGAATCATAAATGGACCATTTTCTTTAAAGCATTCAGTAAATAGCAAATAAAAATTATTTAAAAGAAACTAAGTGAAATTAAAAATGACGGGATGAAATCAAATTCTTTAACCATTAGAGTGTTGACTAAACAGACTAAACTGTCATGATCTTGTTTTAGAGAGACAGTTTTCTAGCTAAAGAAAAAGAAAATCAAACCTGATCAAACTCATTATCCATTGGAGCCCATCTTAACTGACCACCTGTTACCTGGTCAAGCAAAACACGATCAACTGATCCATTGTGCATATTTCCAATGTAGTGAATACCTGTTTTATACAAGGGCTAAGTGTAACAAAATTGGTTAAATATTACAAATCATCAAATTTTTATGATCAATTAATTAGAAATAATCACATGGCTAGTAATAGTATACTGACAAGCCAACGCATTTTTTTTCTTATTTGGTCAGGTACTTTTAAGAGGTGAGTGGATTCAGAGACATTAAGCTTAGAACAAAATGAACATTTGAGTTCCAAATCTCCAGGTCTCTGAGCTCAGTCATGTTGACCTTGCTTGTACAGAATATAGTTTTAATATAGTCTATAGTTTTAAAATAGTGCAACTTCTATTGATAACAAGTATTTTTGTATGTAGTTAGAAATTATAAAATGACAACATACTCTCTGGAATACATAATATAATAATTGTAAGCCTGTTTTCACATTTAAAAAATATTTTTTAAATTAAAAATGAAAGATAAGCAAATTAATCACAAGTCAGAACTGTGATTACCTGTGTCAAATTCAAATCCTTTTTCCACAAAAGTGTGGCAGCAGCCTCCAGCCTGGTCATGTTGCTCTAGTACTAAAACCTTGCATCCTGCTCGACTTAGTAAGACACCTGCTGATAGGCCACCCACTCCACTGCCAATGATGATGGCATCTAAGTTTTGAGGCACTAGGGATGCCTTAAATCCTATAAAATGTATAAGGATTAGACAAAAAAGTGTATGTAATATGTTTTGGAAAAATGAATTGTACCTTTCTAACAATCAAATTAACAAACATTTAACACAATATATATAGGCTAGTTAAGTTAGTAAAGATATTTAGCAATGTTTAAGTACTTTATCAAAACTTTGTCGTTACTGGCCCTAAACTATTAAAAATAGTAGTCTTAGTAGTGTACTCTATATACTAAAATCTTAGCCACTATTATTAAACAACTTATTACTTAGACCTATACTACAGTTACTGGGTCTAAACATAGAGTTCACTAAACTACTACAATAAGCACTATATTTGACTAAATTCTACATCTAATTATACTTTACAGCTGTGATTAATTATTTCTATTAGAGCCAACATTTCGTTATTACCTAGTTAGTGACAGATAGTCAAACTTACTCTGCTTTAGCACATCTTCTCGAGCCTTAGTGTCATGAACAAAAGGCTCAGGCGGACGTCTATAATCTTTAGTGAAGGGATTTTTGCCATATTTCTTTCCAAAGAAAGTGACAGATATGAGATAAAGCACCACGTAAAATAGGAAGCCTGCAACCAAAAATGCAGGACGAGTAACAATGTATTCTATCGCTGATCGCAGTCCAATATCTATAGACATGTTCAGTGTTCTTGTTGGTTGTTGTTACTATATCACTATATCTATAATGAGTATAATCTATAGTATTCTATAGTGTCTAGAATTAAGTCCAAGAATTTAGTAAATTCTAGATACTAGATCTACTGATCTATCTATCTAGTATTAAGTATCTAGCTAGTCAGTCTGGTTGGAGTCTTTTGAATGTGTTGATTATCTGAAAAAATAAAATATTAATAATTAAACTTAATTAAACACATAGGCCTAGCCCTAGTCTAAATCTGGCCAGATCTAGATTTTCTCTAACTCTACTCCGTGACTCACTCTACTCTAAAAATAAAAAGGCCTACGGCTAAGAAAGAAGAGAAGACCTATCCTTACTTAGTAAGTAAGGATAGGTCCTATTATTAATTATTATTTACTTAAAGACAAAGTACTTAAACTACTTAACTTTTAGACTTGTCTTAGGGTAGGGCCTAGCTAGGCCAGATTTAGAAATCTAGATCTAGAGTCTAATCTAAACACATCTAGATAAATGTGATAATAATAAACAACAATAATGACATTGACAAAGCAGATAAGAGAGACGAGTCTACGATATAGATTATTATAGATCTAGATTTACTTTTGGACTTTAACCCCATTCCATTTTTTATTTTTTGTTATTTAAATTTTTCGACTGCAGCCGCTAGCATTCTTTTTTGTAATCGTCTAAATCACAAAATACAAGGAAAATACGTGAAAACATAACCTACGGCCACCAATACAAACATCAAAGAAATGCATGTTACAGTGTATAAAATCGAAATACATAAAAATAATAAAAGATGCAAATTTATTGCTGATTTTATTAATAAAAACCTGAAAATAAAATTAACCATCTCTAGGGCCTACATCACGATTTCGGATTATTTGTCTTTTTTTTAAAGACAGAAAACTGATAGTTTGTTGTTAGTGTTAACACAAATCACCAAAACAAAAAAAGCCTTCTAGAGTCTAGACAAAATAAATATTGGACTACACAATAATATATTTACTATGTTATAATCAGGTAGGCTGTGCTTTTTTTTTTTTTTTTTTTTTTTGTAAATCAATAGTAGGTTGTTTTTTTTTTTTTTTTTTTTTATAATTTGAAATTATTTTTTTTACAAGCCTATAACTATAATTTATAGCTGATTATTTGCTGCTGATTCTAAAGCCCATGAGCTTTTGTAGCATATAATTATAAAGTGTAATTAATTTAATAGCTAGAAATAAGAAGAAGAAGAAGAAGAAGATAGCCTTAAACAACCTAATTGATACTGTAATCATGTTGAATAAATACCTATAGTTTTGGATGACCAAATTTTACCAATAATGGAAAAATAACAACTAAGTGGAGAAATTCAATTTATATCATTTGAGTTCATAAAAAGGTAAAGCTACCATTTCAAAACTGGCAGTCCATAAGACATATAAAGCAGATTTCCGTGACCATGAATAATAAGGGATAATGTGGTCAGCACTCAGCCCAGCTGCTTCTGGTTTCCCTAATTTGAGTCAGGCACCCATCAGAGCTCTGTGGCTCATGGACATCTAACTCAAGACTGGGATCTGAAAATGAGACTTTCAGGTTCGCATCCATGTGTTCTACCATCATGTTGTTCGAATATGGGTGTAAATCTTTAACGTCTAGTTCCAACTCAATAAATGACATTTTAATAATAATAATAAAAAGCAAAAGAAAGGACTTCATACTAGAATTCTTAAATCAACCTAGCTAAAAAAAAAGTTTGAATTACTATTAAATGTATAGCAAAGATATTATCTCTGTATCTTCCAAAAAGTTGGAACATTAATTTATTTAAAAAAATGTTTAACAGAAACAAGTGTAGCTGCAACCCTTTGCTCCCAGGGGCTTCAGAGCATCACTATGTAGGGTGACACCAGATATGATCACTGTGTCATCCCACAACTACAATATAATTGATGTACCAACCTATAGGCAATAGGGTGTCACCGTGTGTAGATGTATATAATAATGATGAAAATCAAATGATGTATTTGAAGTCAACTGGACAAAGATATTTAATTAATAATAGTCATAATTTATATTTTGTTTTGAAAGATGTCACCAGGTGCAGTCCAAACCCCCACCCCTACACACATAAACCATTATCAATCAATTTTGCAAAATGTAACAACAATTTTAATGTAATATTAAAATCAAGATTTATTTTTCTTTGTTTTCTTTGATGTGGAAGGTTTTAACATAGATAAAGATCGTGGTTCCAAGGAAACTGTTTTTGCTGTAACTTCTTCTTCAATACATGCTCTGATACCCTTCTCCAAATCCTGAAATATGAAAAAAATAAGCTTAGCCTAAACAAAAAGAAGGTTTATATATTCAAAAATAATATATTATGGCATGTACCCCCTCAAGTTTTTATCAGCAGAAACTGCACAATAACTATACTATAAGTTTGAAGGTCAAATATGGAATTTACTGATATGCAGCAATTATACTAATTATAGTCTCTTCTACTTCTACTTAGATTAATTTTTTTAATACCCTGCTCTTTAATTTTAATGTGGTAAGAAGTAACTTGAGAAGTAAGTAAAGGTAGAGATTGTTTCAGTACAATAAAACATGTTTAGAGTGCTCTATCTTTAAAGAACGCTATACTTTAGTAACTCCTACTAAACAGGTTAAATTTAAATGGCCTGAGCAAACGTTTCTTACTTTAAAAATACTTTTGGTCTTTTTATCTTCAAATTAAATTTTTAAAATACTACGGTACTCTGGACATAAGAAACAACAGTTTAAAAATCATAGCAAATTTGATAAATTACCTTTTTTAACTTTGCAGCTTCTACTAGACGTGCCTTTTTTGGTGCTATCTGTAGGTGACCTGAAATAAGCACAACCTAGCTTTAGATTTTAGAAATTTAGAAAGGCTAAAAAAACCACATTTACACTTGCAACATGTATACATGTTCTGCAGAAAAAATGTTTTCGTTTAACATTAACTTGCTGTGACTTTTCCCCTAGAAGACATGTATAATGTATAGTATAGTTGTAGTATAGATTATAGATCAACTAATAGATACTGTATAATTACACCAGAGGCGTAGCGACCCTTCCTGGCGCCCGGGGACAAAATTTTCATTTGCACCCCCCTCAAACTTTCGATTTGCATCCCCCTCGAACTTTTCATTTGCACCCTGGGACATATGCCCCGCCCCCCCCCCCCCCCTGCCCCCACCCCTCGCTATGCCTCTGAATTACACTATACATGTCACAAGTGTAAACACTGTGTATGTAAGAAAGGTCCTAGATTCTGATCTAAAATCAAAGTTTATTACTAGATCTAGATCTAAGTATTAACTTAATTAATCACTTGACTCTGACTTACACACGAGTGAATTTTTAATCCTGTTTGTGGAAGTAGAGGCTATTTACTATAGGCCTAGAGATCTAGATCTAGATATACTCAAATAATCTAAGGCAATCTAAGCTAGTAGGTCTCTAAAGTAGGTAGCTAGCTAAAGTACTAAAGTCTAGCTAGATCTAGATCTAGTAGCTACTGACTGTGTATGTGACTATGTGTGGTAACTGTAGCTTAGCAGATCTAGAAGAATCTAGCTAGATTTTTCTAGATCTAGATAGAATCTACTTAACTACTAGATCAAGAAAAATTTACTTTAGATTCTAGATATTAGATCCGTACTGTCCTTACCCGTAGTGACTGGTAGTGAGTAGTGAGCCGTAGTGCTAAGCTAAGTCATAAGTCACACGACCACCACGTACTAGACTAGTCTACTAGATTTCTAGTTGTGCTTTTTTATTTTAAAAGATCTAGAATCGATATAGAAATATAGATCTATCTAGATTTAAATAACGATCACGATTTTAATTACTAAAACCTACCCTTTTTAATAACTCCTTTAGGTCTGCCATGCTTTTCTTTCTTTTTGCCTGGTACTTGAAGTTTTGAGGCCTTGTATTTTCCTTGTGCCATGATTGCTATCCTAAAATCAAAGGGGAGCTACTCTCATCAAAAGCTCCAATTTACGACACGCGCCTTCTCTCCCTTTTTACGCCACGCAACACATAATTCAGTAGGCCCTAATGCAGCTCATAATGAACTTTTTTTATTTTTTAAAACCGTGTTTGCCTCCTCCTGAGGTCGGTACCCAAGCAGAGTTTCGGCATTTCTTTTGGGGGGGGGGGGGTGGAAAGAAAGAAACACTGTACCCAGGGCAGTCGCCCAACCCGCCCTCCCCCAGTGTTTCTTCCAGACGTTTTTCTCCCCGGGGGGGGGGGGGGCACTTAATATCTTCGGGGGGGGGGGGGTGTACATTTTCCGGGGGAGGGGGGCGCACAATAGTAAAAGTATATGTTTACTATATAAATTCCATCTCGTTCGGGGGGGGGGGGGGGGGGAGGCGGTAGACTTTCTTCAAAGAGTTGCCTGGAAGAAACTCTGCCCTCCCCTAACTACGCCTCTGCCTGCAATGGGTTGGGGGGAGGGAAGGGGGAGACGACACCAAGACGAAATATTTTAGTTACTTACAGGGCCGGCGCTACCTATAAGGCGAACTAGGCGGTTGCCTAGGGCGCTGTCAGTAGAGGGCGCCAAAATGGGTCGGAAAAGAAATTGAAAGTTTGAGAGGCGGTGGGTGCAAATCGAAAGTTTGAGGGGGTGCAAATCGAAAGTTTGAGGGGGGGCGCTTTTAAGAAGTTTTGCATAGGGCGCTAAATAACCTGGCGCCGGCACTGGTTACATTAAAAAAAAACAAAGTATCATCTAGATTTCTAGTAGAATTAATAAAAGTATTTATATTTTTAATTACTTGCCAACTGTTTGACGCCTTCAATCAGAAAAAGATGGGTGCGTGTGTAATGGTGATATCAACTGAACAGGTTGCAAGGTCTAGTGTGAAGACAACGTTGAATATAACTTCAACAGAAAGAGTATGACAACACTTTGAAAATTTAAGTCATGTGACCTCACCTGTCTACAATATTACGTAATTCACATTACCTTTACATGTCTAAAACAATATCCATGAAGTCATGTCACCATTGTCATATCACAAACTTACAAGATTCCTGAAGTCATATCACCTGCCCCGGCTGAAGAAAGTCTACCGCCCCCCCCCCCCGCACCCCCACCCTGGAATAAATATAGAAAATATTCACTTTTAACAGTGACCGCCCCCCTGGAAATTTTAGTCCGCCCACTGAAAATTTCAAGTGCCCCCCCCCCCCAGGGAGAAAAAAGTCTGGAAGAAACACTGCCCCTGTTTACAAGTAAGTCATATCACATGCCTACAGTCATGTCACATTCCCCTATCACATGCCCCTGTCTACAAGACCCATTAAGTCATATCACATGCCCCTGTCTACAAGACCCATTAAGTCATATCACATGCCCCTGTCTACAAGACCCATTAAGTCATATCACATGCCCCTGTCTACAAGACCCATTAAGTCATATCACATGCCCCTGTCTACAAGACCCATTAAGTCATCACCTGCCCCTGTCTACAAGACCCATTAAGTCATCACCTGCCCCTGTCTACAAGACCCATTAAGTCATATCACATGCCCCTGTCTACAAGACCCATTAAGTCATATTACATGCCCCTGTCTACAAGACCCATTAAGTCATGTCACATGCCCCTGTCTACAAGACCCATTAAGTCATATCACATGCCCCTGTCTACAAGACCCATTAAGTCATATTACATGCCCCTGTCTACAAGACCCATTAAGTCATATTACATGCCCCTGTCTACAAGACCCATTAAGTCATATCACCTGCCCCTGTCTACAAGACCCATTAAGTCATATCACCTGCCTACAGTCATATCACATGCCCCTGTCTACAAGACCCATTAAGTCATATTACATGCCCCTGTCTACAAGACCCATTAAGTCATATCACATGCCCCTGTCTACAAGACCCATTAAGTCATATCACATGCCTACAAGAGTAATATCACCTGCCCCAGTCTACAAGATTCATTATGTCATATCACCTTTACCTGTCTACAAGAACAAAGAGGACACGAAGACAGGACAGGTAAGATTTATGAGTACCTTACAAGCCCAGCGAACGCCACAGTGACGTTTTGTTTTGTTTTTTTGCTGAAAAACTATTTTCCTCTGACGAAAGAATAGACATTTTTTAAACGCTGTATCTAAATATTGTTAGTAAGCACACGTCGGAAGTAAATTTACAATTGGACAAAGCAATGTTTTAATTTTAAATAACTGTAAATAATGAGATAAATTTAATATTACAAGCGTCGGCAAGCTGTAGTCGTAAAAATTTTGATAAATGAACCGTCAAGCCAAGCCGATACGTGAAGATGTGTTCCTTCTTGTGTTGCTGATGTGGTGTGTAGTGAATGGTGTGCTGAGTTCGTTGTTTACCGACGGGACCGTGGTCGTAGAATGGCAGGTAGATGCAGGAAAGGGCGTGGCTTGCACTGTGAGTACTGACTGGTGAGTTGTGTCTTATCGAACATACAACAAATGACTGACTAAAGTTGTCATACTATCTCTACATACCCTACCATACACTATGCACAATTGTTGTCTTATTTTCAGCTAACTATTGAGTCGTATTGTATTATTGTTAGTAAATATTCTTAAAGCCCCTAATATTCTAACAAATTCATTGCCATTCTCTATATAGGCTACATATTATACGGAATATCTTAGTAAGTAAATATTCTTTGAGCCCCTAATGTTTTACCTAACTCATTGCACTACCCTCAATAAATATAGGCCAAGTGTACTGACCCCTTACCAGAGGCGTAGCGACCCTTCCCGGCGCCCGGGGACAAACTTTCGATTTGCACCCCTCCCCCTCAAACTTTCGATTTGCACCCCTCCCCCTTCAAGCTTTCAATTTGTTTTTCCAACCCATTTTGGTGCCCCCTAAGGTCGGCGCCCGGAGACACATGCCCCCCCCCCCCACTCGCTACGCCTCTGCCACCTACCTTACTAAATATTTTGAAACCCTAATGTTTTACTAAATTCATTGACTTTCCCCGTATAAATATTATATTGCCGCCTGCCGATTAAGATACAGAAGGTTTAGCCTACTATATATAGTGGTGTCACTAGGTATATTGTCACCCAATGCGGTAAAGGAGGGTATACGGATGTATACACACCACCATTCAACTTTTTTTTTTCGGTAGGTGTCAGTATAACCCATTGCACCCAGCTATTTTATTATTTAAGCTGGATCAGACATAGTTTTAAATGCAAATAATACGATAGGAGAGATGGTGACTCAGCCGTTTGAAACAATGCGTACAATGTAAAGAAAGGTAGAGCAAATGTGACATTTTCTTAATTCTGTTTTTAAGGGCAAAAATATACAAATTATTGTAACAATTATGGTTGAGGGATGTGTTATGGTCTGGCAAGATTTCTTTCAGGCATCTCTTCAGAGGCTCTATCACCCTACCACCCCCCCCCCCCTCCAACGAAATAGAATTTATATGGAAAATATGTAACTGAACCGGTGTCTGGTCTCCCAAACCGGAAATCGAAGTCCACCCCCACCCCCACCCCACCCCGACAGATTCGTGATCCCACTTGGAGAAAAAAAATGTCTGAAAGAAAATCTGGGGTCTGGCTTTATGTTCCACGGGAGTGGCAGGGAACAGTGGCGGACCTCTAAAAAAATGTGGGGTCGGATTTTGTGCCATACGCCCCCCGCCCCCAACCTTACCCCTCTGGCGGTAGTTCTGTCCCCGACAGGGAATTAAGAACTAACGGAACAATTAAGCATATTTGAATTACCTTTAATTTTATTTTCAGCCAATTTTTTTTTTTTACTCATATATCCAGCAGGAATTTCTTCCAGACATCACTTCAGTCCGCCCCCCCCCCCCTCCCCGAACGAGATGGAATGTATATAGTAAACATATACTTTTACTAGTGTCCGCCCCCCCCCCCCGGAAATTGTAGACCTTCCCCCCCCCCCCCCCCCCCCCAAAATATCAAGTGCACCCCCCGGAGAAAAAAGTCTGGAAGAAACACTGATATCCAGCACTGCTCTGTTTTCAGGAACCAAACGTCACAGTTGGACTACTCGAATGACTTGTACGAGGTGGACCCGACCTCCATGGCCAACATGGCGGAGCAGTGCAAACTTCTGCAGGGCAAGGACGCTAATCAAGTTCACAGGATATGGAGGCGGAGCATCATTAACATATTGGATGGCATTTATCCAGGTCAAATCCAGTTTCTTCCAGGCATCTCTTCGGGGGGGGGGGGGGGGGGGGAAGAAAGTCTACCCCTTTCCCCCCCCCCCCCCCCCCCCCCGAACGAAATGGAATTCATATAGAAAACATACTTTTTACCAGTGTCCGTCGTCCCCCCCCCCCCCCGGAAAATGTCCGCCACCCCGAAAATATCTGTGACCTCGGCATATGAAGGGATAATGTGGTCAGCACTATTCCCTAACGCGAGCCAGGTATGCATCAGAACTGGGTGGGCTCAGGATGTACTTGATTCCGTGTTCGAACTCGAGACTTTCGGGTTAGCAGTCGTATGTTCTCCCATTCGACTACGCCTTCATATAGTATATATGACACTTATTCATTTTATTTGCTTATTCGAAAGGAGGGGGGGGGGGAGAAAGTGGAAGCCTTAAGCTATAGCTTGTAAAACTTAGACGTAAATCTTCCACTGACTTTAGATAGATAAAGGATCCTGAGACAGACCTACGACAGTTTAGAGTCCGGGATTCGATGAAGAAAACCACAGATATGACCAAGTAGAAGAAGGTGGTGAAACTGGCCTAAGCTCTCCATGGGCTGTTGTCGGATATTTTCTTTAAAATGTGCATGATTAATGTACGCTTACGGTGTTCGGTCCTATAGGCTGATGAAGTACATTCTCTGTAGAGTGCACCAAGTGAATACAAATTATACCGAACGTGGTGGTGTATTAAAAGACGTCAAACACATAAGTAGCGAGGGGGGGGGGGTAGATTTGTGCGACAATGTGCTTCAATCAACACCGTGTTACGTTGGAGAGTAATTTGGCGATAAATATGGTATAATTTCGATATAATTATGGATATTTTAATGTCTTGAGGTGGAATAATATAGCATCATTTTAGAAAAATGGGATGTCTAGCTTTTTTGTGAGCATAAGTTATGGTGGTCTTAAAAATGCGGCTAAAATTGCGTTAACTTATTTATATACGTTCCACGTTGTGGGCAGACTATGTTACTTGTTAAATATTGGCATACTTTTGCCATCGAACCTTGTTAAACTTCATTTTTAGCATTCCACAATTTCATTGAATCATTTTGATATTATCATGATATATATTGTTTCGTAAGAAAATCCTAATTTAATTTAACGGTTTAATAAAGTACTCAATTCAAATCGCTTATTCGTTACTTTTTTAAACTTTAGGCACCAAATGGTGTGGTCACGGTAACCTGGCCAGCAACGTGTCGGACATCGGCTACTACAACTTGACTGACGTCTGCTGTCGGGAGCACGACCACTGTGACGAGTACATCTTGCCAGGCGAGACGAAGTTCGGCGTCCATAACGACCAGCAGTACACAATGTGAGTCACCTAGCAACATCGGTAAAAATCAACGCGATTTTTAATAGGCCAAATCGAATATTTGTTGTGATACTACAATTATTTTGAAGTTTTTTTCTTTTCTTCTAAAGTTGACGTGTTCATGGGCAACCGTAACTTTTTAAACTAAAATATTTAAAAATCGTTTTCGCTTTGGCAGCAGAGTTTCTTCCAGGCATCTCTTCGGGGGGGCGAAGCCCCCCCGAAAAATTTTTACCGCCCCCCCGAACGAAATGAAATTTATATAATTTATATAGAAAATATATACTTTTAACAGTGTCCGCCCCCCCGAAGAAAGTTTACCGCCCCCCCGAAGATTTCAAGTGCCCCCCCGGAGAAAAAAGTCTGGAAGAAACACTGTTTGGCAGTCTGGCCATGCCACATTAAAATAAGTAAAATTCATATACAAAGTTTATTTAACATTTTCTTAGACCTCTTCCCCATCCCCTTTAAACAAAGACACAGTTTGTTACTACAGTACGGGGATAACATTGTTTTAAAAAAATCATTGTGAACCTTTCTCGGACCTCATTTCTTATGTTACCTCTGTATGAGGCATAGCCTATATAGTACATGCATAATTTTGTTGAATGCCAACTGGGCTATGACCAGTGGGGGGAAATCGAAAGGTGGGCGACCACCCAAATATTTTCTTTAACTGTCAATGCCAGTAAATACCATCTTCCCGTTCATACCCAAGACCCATGGGGAAGATGAAGTAGATACCATCTGCTTCAGATACCTCGGAATATGAATTTTGTTCGGTACCCATTAGAGCTGGGTGGACTCGGGGACGTTTGACTGATTTGAACCCGAATTCAAACACGAGACTCTCGGGTTAGCAGTCTAGCTCTCTACCCTACCGCTAGGCCACGCCGACCCATAACATTAGTTTACTTCCCACTTTCTACTTAGTTTCCAACAACATTTTAAAAACATTTTTATGTTAACAGATGCAGTTGTGCCTGTGATAAAAAATTTCGGAAGTGTCTCCAAAAGGTGGGCACGTTCACCTCGCGAGCTGTCGGCTCCCTGTTCTTCAATGTGGTCGGGATTCACTGTATAGAAACCAGGACCATCTCTTTGGCTGGGTTTGTTCTTGGAAAGTGAGTGCTTCACCGTGTTAAGGGGGTTTAGTTACAACAATATTGGGATGGAGTTTTACAGCACCCCTCCCCCTGAATGAAATATAAATAAGTTATACAAAAAACATTTATTACTAGTATCAAAACAACCCTCTAAAAATTTAGTACTACCCCCCCCCTCCCGAAAGTTTTAAATACACCCCACCCGGAGAAAAGTCTTAAAGAAACACTGGGTTTTGTCAGCTACTCTAGTTTGTCTAGTAAAGAAATCAGAGTTTCTTTCAGGCATCTTTTCCTGGAATAATACTATCGAATATTCAGTGGAGCAGAAAAACACTCGAAATTAAGTGTGTAATATCTTGATTTTCTAAACAAATTAATTATAGTGATACACTTTGAGAATCACACTACAACAGCTGCTAATTAATGATGTTATAGAATATAGACTAGGTCTGAATGAAATTTTATTTTATTTTAAATGGACATTTGTATTTTCTGCACAGAAGAGCAACACTTTACCCGCCAGAACCATACAACCAAGAGGCTAAAGTCCACACGTTTAATGAAGTTCTAGCCGGCAATGTCAGCGTGACCAGCTGGCTCGGGTCATTGTTTGGTGGGAAATAAAAATAAAAACCTGCAATACAATGTCTGGTTTTTTTTTAAAGGAACAATAAAAATTGGTTTAAAAAATATGTGGAATTTTTTCTTTCTTTCTTTTTGTTGCTAGATAATTAGATGCTTCATGCAAGTGTATGACTACTTAAGATATGCCGGAAAGCATAGAAAATTATCTCGACATCTAGGAGTATCATATAGTGGCTTAGCTAGGTCGGGTGTCATCCGGTGTGGCACTCATGATATCCACCCCTCTCCACACACACAAACGTATATATATATATATATATATATATATATATATATATATATATATATATATATATATATATATATATATATATATATATATATATATATATATATATATTCAGAATATTCAATTTGCACTTAAAAGACTCTTTTTACTCTAAATCATCATTAATTGGACTGGCAAAATCATTTTTCGGGTATACATTTTGCAATTTTTTGTCTTGGTGTCCCCCCCCCCCCCCCCCCCCGCTTTAAAATGGTGTCACCCGGTACGGTCCTCAACCCCCGCCTCGCGACGCCTCTGCTGGTTTATAAAACTAAAATAAGCCAACCCAGCTCCTGTGAAGGGTTTATAGGCTATCGTGTATTGGTAGATTTTAAAGCCATAACACAAAACATAATTCAGTTGTTTGATAGTATTAAAGTGTGAGTATAATAATAGATTAATACACAGGCTAATAAAGTTACTATATCATTCTTTTTTTTTTATTTATACAACTGCTAAATGCATGCAGATACTTTTAAATGTACGGTATTGTAATTTTAAAACATAATATACAGTTTTATTTCTGAAAAAAAAACAACGATTTTAACCAAATCCAAATTGTGTTTGTTTCCAAATGTAGCCTACCAGACGGTGCACTACTTCATGTAAATTAAATACCATAATAAAAATAAGCCTGTATTCTCAATTTTTAAAATGTGTTAGCCCCAAATCAATCAATTTTTTTTATTGTTGTGGTTTAATGTACAGACATAAAAAGCCCCAACTTCTTCCCAGGTTGTGTTGTTAAGTTGACTTTTCCGAACTTCCTTTCTTAGATGGGCTATCCGGCAGTGATTCTTCCAGACCTTTTTTTTCTCCGGGGGGGGGGGGGGGCACTTGAAAGGTTCGGGGGGAGGGGAAAGGGGCGGACACTGTTAAAAGTATATATGTTCTATATAAATTCCATTTCGTTAAGGGGGGGGGGGAGGAGATGCCTGGAAGAAACTCTGCTATCCCTTAGTATAGGTTGATCAGTTGATATTTTAGGCTATATGGAAAAAAGTAATAAATTCCGTAGCTGAAGTCCATTTTATAGATGTAGGCTGTGGTTGATGCAGCTCTGAGCACGAAATCGATAGAGCGACAACATAGTCAGTAGTTGTTATAAATGTATTGTGCTTGTGAAACGTATAAACAAGCTCTTCATCGAATAGTCTGTGTTTATTTGTTTCTTTGATGTTTTAGAAATATTACGGCCGAATAGATTATCTTGTTGGCAAAACGAATAAAAGCGAAGATTAAAATTGATTGATGAGTTATCCCCCTTCTTTTACTACCGGTAAGCGTATAGATACATGAAGAACGATAACTCTTTCCACTAAAGAAATCCAACAGTGACAGTTAGGTGGGACAGTTTTAAATTTTAGACAATTTTTTTTAAAACTTAATTTTAAGCCACCTGTTTAGTCTTTCCGTAATTACGTCAATGATTTTAATAGACTAGTAAGTAAGTAAGAAAAAAAACAACTAAAAAAATGCAAACATAACTTCTGTTATGAAAGCATAATTATGAGAAGAAATGATAATTATATCTCAGATGGATGTTGTAAAGAGGGCGTAACGTTTACGCCACGAACAATAAATGTTTATTTGAGATATCACTAGGTCTATAGTGTAGTCCGCGAAATGTGCACAGGATTAGAAGCTATGGACCTGATAGTGTTGGTGTTTGTTGTAGCAACGGTTGCCCTTGGTGTTGATGGGATTGTTGTGAGCTTCGCGGACGGGAACTCTGCGCTGACCGTTGATATCACAGAAACAGGACCGAACAGCACACGGATTTCGTGTTCCTCCGCCGCGTAAGTTTACAGATTTACTTTTCATCATGCGTCATCCAGCTATCTCGTGACGATCTCATCAGCTGATTAACCTTTTCCTCGGGGGGTCGCATACAAATGATGTCACGCAATTTAGAGTGTGAAGCAAATACTTCATACGTTATAAAACAACAGCTGTATTAAGCTTAAGCGAGGTTGGGCGCAGTGTTTCTTTCAAACATTTTTCTCCGGAGGGGAGGAGGGGGGTGGGGGATCGCTTTAAACTTTTTGGGGGCGCATTTTTTTTTCTTTATCAGTCCCTCGAAGATGCTGAAAAAAGCTCTGGTTTGGTGAAATTACTAATGGCAACGGAGAGGACTTGCATAAATCACATATTCTTCTTTTGTGAAGATTTGTGACGAGGGGCGGTGGGGTTATAAAAGGTGACGTCTCGCCTTGGATTTTAGAAAGTAATTTTTGAAACTTAATCAAGTTAAATTTCGCATCAATTTTTAAAAAAATTAATTGTTATAAAAAAAGGATCAATATAGAGCCTGCCTAGTCTGGACAGAGCTCAATTTGATATTTTAGAAAGAAATCGCTATTTCAATTTTTATACTTTGGGGTAGTATGTTCAGGTCAGGATTAAAAATCTTTGGATCAAATTAAGAGTAAGGTTAATGAGACAAACAAAAGCGAAAGTTTTATTGGTCGATAATATTTACTCTGTTATTCAACAGCTTATTATACATTTCTAAAACGGGTCATGTTTCATTACTTAGGAAAGAAACAAAGCTTCCAGACATTAAAGATGGTGCCATAATAATTGATAGAACGGTGATGATGGCATTGGAAGAGAAATGCAACGAACAGACGACCACCCCTACGTCTGCAGACGGCAGGATTCGCCGGGCTATGGTCGCTCCAGGTAGGGCCTATGTCTTCTCTGAATGCAGCAATTTAAACAAAAAATTCCACCTGTTCATTTAGTATAATTGACACCTTGGTATATTTTTATGACATGAAGATCTGGTCGAGTGGTAGGATAAACGTTCGTGAGTAGAGTTATAATAGCAGCCTTCCTAAATCCATACATCTCTTACGAGTAGGCATAACTCAGTCTAGTCCTCCCAGCTCTAAGGAGTACCTTGCTCATGTCCACCCATTTCTAATGGGTACTTGGCTCATGTCCTCCCATCTCTAATGGGTACTAGGCACATGTCCACCCAGCTCTAATGGGTACCTGGCTCATGTCCACCCATCTCTAATGGGTACCTGGCTCATGTCCACCCATCTCTAATGGGTACCTGGCTCAAGTTTGGAAAAATAAAACTGATATTGCAGCACTCAGTCCATTCACATCCTGCTCTAACGTATCACTCTATATTAGTCAAATCATTTTGACTTTTATAGGATGGCTCGCCTCTGTTGTTTTTTGAACGGGTTGACTGATGTATTGATGGGTTTGTCGATTTCTGTTACATTGGACACTAATTAAGAAGGCATGCTCATTATTAGTCACAACAAGACATAAGAGCTGCTGTTAAATTTTTTAGATCAATCTATAGATATATAGAGTATTGTAAAGAGATATTTTTAAAGGTTAGATTCTGGATTTGAGCTTGAGCTATTGTGGAAGATTTAACATACAATTGTCCAACACTGGACTTTTCAAAAATATTAACGATGTGTAGTTGTTAGGTATTGAAATGATTGGGTATGTGTTATTTTAGGCCCACTTACAGTATAACGCATTATTATAGAATATTTAAATGTTTACCAACTAGTGTAAAACCACATAACCCCATATAACACTCTGGTGTATCACTGTAAGTTACAGAGTAACGCCACATTATACCATATAGAGTTTCTTCCAGGCATCTCTTCACTTTTAACAGTGTCGTCGTTTACCCCCCCCCCCCCCCCCCCCCCCCCCCCCCGAAAATATCAAGTGCACCCCCCCCCTACACATACACCGGAGAAAAAAGCCTGGAAGAAACACTAATCCTATATAGCAATCTGGTGTATGGAGATGTCATTATATAGTTATATTTATGTGCGTCGTGGGTAGGAAAGAAATGTCACATAAGTCTTTCATAATAACCGCAAGGTTCCTTAAGACTTGGATGTATAGAAATACCACATATAGAGTTATATACTAGTGTTTTATATTATCTGCACGGTGCAGGCAAGAAATATCATATAAGCGGGAAAAGCTAGTGTGCAAAGTTTATCATCTGTGCGCGCTGTTCTAAAATCCTTATACAAGAATATATTTATTTTACAAAATCGCTGCGCGGCAGCTCAAAAGTACCGCGCGGCCGCGCAACCGCGTAGCTTAGAGGGAACATCGTACTAGTGTTATATAATATCTGCACGATGTAGGCAAGAAATGTCATATAAGTGTTATATACTAGTGTTGTATATTATCTGCTCGTCCCTAAGACTGGCTGTATCTCTGTCAGGCACGCACTGGTGCGGCGCGGACAACACTGCTGACCACTACAACGACATGGGCTACTTTCACGACACTGACGCCTGCTGTCGAGACCACGACCATTGCGGCTTGTGTATCTCATCCGGGGAGACCAAACACAACATAAGAAACAATAAAATCTACACAATGTCAGTTTCTTTTGTTGTGTTTTTTTACTTTAATTTTTTATTTATTTTGTTGCTGAATTTTTTTTAATGTTTTAAATATTAACAGGTCATATGATGTTTGATAGCATTCTAGTTTATGTTAAACTTTTTTTTCTAACTCAAAACAATTCTATTAATTATGTGGTCAGAATATCATTATATAAAAATAAAAATTGACATTAAAAAAAAACAACGTTGTAGCCTTAGATTCAGCAAAGTATCAATCAGTGTTTCTTCAAGAATTTTTTCTCCGGGGGGGGGGGGGGGGGGGTGGGGGGGGCACTTGAAATTTTGGGGGGGGGGGCGGTAGACTTTCTTTTTCTTCGGGGGGGGGGGGCTGTTAAAAGTATATATTTTCTATATAAATTATATAAATTATAAATTTCATTTCGTTCGGGGGGGGGGGGGGGGGGGGGGGGGGACTTCGAAGAGATGCCTGGAAGAAACTCTGCAGACGCAGACAATATGAAAATGTAAAATAAAATCTCGGCATTCATTTTATTTTAATTCAAGCACTTATGTACATTGGCCAGATTTTTTAAAAGTGTGGACAATTTTTATTGTACTTATTTTAGAGATTGGTACATAATAAAACAGTCAACCAACAAAATTAGCTATGTACTTATTAAGTTTCTTTCATTTTGCATGGGGGGGGGGGGGTGAGGGCATTTTAAAAACTTTCTAAAAGACGGTAGTTATAAGAATGGTTACAGTATAGGCCTATATCTTTTTTTTCTATGCCCGAAAGAAAACACACTGACTCTAACTCAATCACTTATAATAGCGCTAGCCCTAACACAAAAAAATTATTTCAACTCTGCAGATGTAGCTGCGAATGTGACAAAAAGTTCAGCCTTTGTTTAAAAAATGTTGGCAGCCTCGTTTCGCAGACAGTCGGCTCTCTCTTCTTCAACATCTTGCAAGTGCCATGTGTTGATATCAATGCGCGGTAAGTATGAAGATATAGACCTACTTTTTGTGATAAACGATCACTATATCTGGTAAAAATCTGACACATATGAATCTGTTTTATGACTTAGGGTCGAACTTGTGTTTAGTACCGTAAATAAACACGGCGAGTAGTCAAGTAGGCCTAACTATTAAAACAAATCTGGGTTTTTGATGTAGATTAGCCTACCTGCTTATTGGCGTGTGTCAGTGGCGTAGGCAGGGGGGGGGGGGGTGTTAGGAGGGTCATAACCCCCCCCCCCCCTAGACCCCTCGGTATATATATATAAAAAGTATGAGGGAGGGTGCAAATCGAAAGTGTGAGGTGGGTGCAAATCGAAAGTTTGAGGGAGGGGGGGGGGGGGTTGCAAATCGAAAGTTTGTCCCCGGGTAAAAATTGGACCCCCCCCCCTTGAGACGATCCTGGCTACGCCACTGGCGTGTGTGAATGTTGCTGGTTTTTTTTTTGGTAGGCATGAACACCGCTTAATGAAATGACTGACCAAATATATATGAGACTTTATTTTCGCGACGACACACATAAACAGATCTGGAATACGAACACAACCTTTCTGTTGTCGCATAGAATACGTTTTTGTTCCAAAAATAAATATGAACGTTTTGTGTTTTAACGAATTAATTATGATTCACAAGAACAAATTTGTTGTTTGTAGTAAATAATAATAAATATGAACATTTTACCCAGTGTGTATTAAAAGTGCTTGTCTTTGACTATGAACATGTCTGTTTTTGCTAAGGTAATTATAAACGTTTTTAAAGTAAGAAAACAAAGTATTGTATTTTTTTTTCCTGCCTGTCTCACTGAAGGTGGTAATGGGCTTAAATTAATTTATTATTAAGTTTCTGTTAGAATTTTATAAGAGAGGTTTAAATTTTCCCATTACTTAACTTTAAAAAAAATTAAATTGCAGACCACCTGGCCTATCATCATCCTCCTATTACTCGCAGACGACCAAAGCACCAAGTTTTATAAGAAAAATTGCAAGCTGGTTTGCAGACATTTTTGGAAAAAAATGAAATCTAAATATCAACACAAAAAAACATTTCTACAATTTTCTTAATCTGGAAATCCATATTTTCCATAATCTCAGTTTTTCCTTGTAATATAATTTATTGTTGGTGCCAAATTATTATAATGATTGTAATGGCATGAAATAAAAATAAAATCGTTAGATCTCAACTTGGGACTTTCACCAAACAACATACTCAATAATTCAACACAACAAAAAAAAAAGTTTAATTAAAAATTTGATTATATTTGATTAGGATGATAGAGATTGTACTTTATGCTTTTGTAAAATTTTCTTGTAATAAGCAATAATAAAATAAAATACACCAGTTGCACACTCTTGCAGACATAGACAGGAGGACTCCCCAAAAGCTAGACTACATTTTGTTTATATAATGACCTTGTTCTACTACAAGTATTCAGTGTGTGAGTATTCAGATATAAAGATAAACAAAAATTGCATATACCAAAATAAGAAAAATATAACAAATAATAAAATGGCAGCATATTTTCAGTAGGAATATAAATATTGTAAATTACATTTTAAATATAGATAATTTGGAAGTATAGTAAAAATACTAAAATAATAAATTCATGGCATTCTCTAGGTCCAAAAATAAAAGAACACAAGCCCACAAGATAAAAAATATTGTTAAAAATATAAATACATATTAGTTTATAAAAATCTAAAAAAAAAAGATGGTTTAAAAATAGTAAGGCATTAGATAAAATTGTATTCATCAACTGATTTCTAAAGAATAATTTTATTTTACCCTAAGTTAAATTGTAGGTATATGATGTTCTAGATAAAATCATTCAAATTTAATGAGTCAACTTTTGACTATTCAATTGAAATTTGAGTAAATGTTAGGTTAGTCAATAAAATATTTCTACATTGGAAAAAAAAAAATCTTAAATTTAAAACAACTGTGAAAAAGGAAACACAATTGAGTAAGCTAACACAAGTATGAGAAGATAAACATTTTTAAAATCTTGATTATTAGCTCTATATATTAAAAAAATCATTTATACAAAAAACTTTTTTTTTTTAATATGAAAATTATGTTCAGTAGTAGCATAAATTATTGTGACCATAATTGGAATGTATACATTTGTGAACACATTTATAAGTAGTATCAAAAGTTGTAAAATATTAAACATATAAATAAAATGCATAGAGTATTTATCCATAGCTATGTATTTGTTTCAAAATATTTATCACAAAAGTTATTTTATAAGTAGTGCTTTTTTGGGTGAAAATACCATTTGAATTTTTTATAGTACTTACATTTTAAATTGTATAATACATTTTTATAAAAAAGTAGAGAAAGAGTTAACACAAAAACAGATTTTAAGGAAGATGTAGTCACTGACTTTATGCATAGTAAAATTATGCCAGAATTTTATAAAACTTTGAACCAGAATAATTTTGATATGGGCATAATTAACAGATGCATTTTATACTGTCATGTCAAAACATATATAAATAAAATTTCAGTAAAAAAATAAGTTTAGGCATTGGTGCAAAAACCATCACCATCATGACATCTCTGTAGGATTTTATATTTACAAAATGCAAAACAATATTTTATGAAATACAGAAGGTCATTATCTCATATTGAGAAATAATTTTTTGTAATTTAAAGTCTCATGTCAGTGAAACCATCAAATAAAACAGGTAAGTACAATCAAATTGCATGTAAATTTTACTGTTAATTAAGAAAACTTTAGGCCCCTTACAATAGTATTTTTGTGGTTTAGCCAATTAGTCAGCCATCTCATCAGTTGAAAGTAGTGTATAAATAGGGTAACATTTAAAACAATTTGTTTAAAGTATGTTTATAAAAGGTGCTAGTATATGAAGGGGTGTGATATTTAAACTTTGGTGTCTACACTTTAAAAAAATAGTCCCAGACAGAACAAGTGCAACAAACTCTATACCTGCGATGGTAAGAAAATCTCAATGTTAACACCAAACCTCACCGTCACTGTCATTATACACTGAATCACTGTCATCATTGTTGTTGTCATCGACAAGTAACTCAGTTTTATCCACCTCGTCCAGCATCCAGGGTGCACGCATCAGCACAACCATCATCAGGCGGTCAAGGTATGACCTTTGACTTTTAAACTCCTTTAACATATACATCAAGGCCTCCAGAACATCATCCTGGCAAAATGATTTTTTTAAAAAATTAAACGTTAAATAAGCTACCAACTAAAATTATTTTGGCACCGTTTATCTTTTGACTGTTTAGAGCAGGGGTCTCCAAACTACGGCCCGCGGGCCGGATGCGGCCCGCGAAGTCCCCTCATCCGGCCCGCGGAGATCTTTTTGTCCAAGGAAAAATTGTTTGTTGGTGATGGCTGAGGAACTTTGCCCAGAAAAATCAAAGACATGCCTGGAAGAAACTGGCCCCCGAACTGAAATTTATAGTTAATGCGGCCCTCGAACTGAAAAGTTTGGAGACCCCTGGTTTAGAGCATACTCCCCTAATTATAATTCTTCCAAATGCATAACTTCACAGCATGATACATTAACATTTCTTGCTTAAGCTGGATACATAAAATGAAATGCAATTACACTATTGTGTTTACCATTCAGATTGAAGGGGGATTCCAAAGTAATACAATACTACTATAGTATTGGTATTTTAACCCTCCCACACCCATGCACTAGTAGTTTAATGCAACAAAAATGTTTATATAAATGACATTGTTACTGTAACGTTGTCGTATTATAGCTTTACCACATTAAGCCTCATTAAATAACATTACATAATATGATATATAATTAAAATTATACTTTATATTTAGGTTATTTAAAAAAACTTTACCAAAAAAGTTCAATTAAAAATAAAATTCTATACAAAATATCCATCTCACCTTTGAGACATCATGTGCTTTAAGTCCTTCAATACCTCTCTCATAATAGTCAGCTATTCTGTCCACTAAAGTAATACATTAAAAAGACAGATAATTTAATCTTGTGCATATTACTTTCACATAATTGAAATGATAATTTTAATGTGACGTAAATAGAGAACATAAAAGTATATGAAGAGAAACTCTTACATTCTGTATTAGGAGTGGGCTGAAATGTTTCAGACTGCATCTGTCTAATACACGCTAAAGCTGAGTCTCTTTCTGACTTCAGCTGCTGAAGATCAATATCCTAAAAAAATAATTATTCTTGATATTTAAAAAAAACTAATTTTCTTCATGAATCAGTAATTTAAAATTACAATGGAAACTGAACATTTTTTTAAAAAGTAAATATTATTATACCCTTTAATCAGGACAACAACTTTTTACTAATCAAACATCAAGTTTAAGGAACTCAATTAGCACAGCAACTATTCACCATTTGTTTAATTGTATCTTGTAATGATGTCAGCTTAAGCTGAAGAGTGACCAGCTCTTCCTGGATTGTAATCTTCTCTTTTAAGCTACTCAGAAGATCTGATGGAGATGAGTTTATAATCTGATCCACATCAACTGTCTCATTTTTCATCACCACAAGGATTGAGCGGAGCTTTTCCCATTTCTTATCTGGAGTCGTAATCTGAAACATACACTTATAATTTTATTACAGCTTACACAGATTTAACTACACTGAACAAATACACAAGAAATGCTATAGATATTAAAGCCATCTACTTTTGTTTCAGTTTTTTAAAATTATTTTTAGTTTAAAATCTAAATATTAACGATCTCTCATTTAATTAAAAGTACAAATAAAGGTGACTTAAACAAACCTTTTCAGCATTTTTAGAATACACATCTAAAAGCGGTTCACTGCCCCTATATAAAAAAAAATGTAATAAGAAAGAATAGGATAACATTTAAAATTTTACATTTATTGTCAATTAGATTATTTGAAAATAAAATTGTGTTCTTAAAAATTGAATAAGTCCCTAAATCAGCATTAAAATTATTTAATTTATTTTTTCTTGCATAATGTAACAGAAATTCTCTTATTATTGACCTTCTTGTATTCCTTAGTGCTAATGCGGGTGAAGTGGGAATAGTATTTAGGTGTAATGAAACCGGTCTTGTGGTAATTTCTGTGTGGGGCCTGGTGAGGTTTGTTGGTGTCTGGTGTGACAGCCTCACTGAATCTGGTAAAGTTAATGATGTGGGTGAAGAACTGAAGTACTCTCTTATGGGTGTAGGTGAACTTGATGTTCTATTTCGTGGTGAAGGTATTGGGCTCAAATGTGGGCTCTGGTCATGTTTGCACAGTAAATTTGGGCTTTTATTTGCAGCATCTCTTTCATAATCTGATGAATTTATCTGCAAGAAATATGCATAATCAATTGTATTTATGTTTGGAGTCATTTACCTTCTGCTGAAATGTTAGTTACTTAGAAGTTAAATATAATTTTGTAAAAATAATAATAATTTATGTTAGGCTATATATAATGTGGCCCCTGAGTCTATTCACTGTAGTGGGTACTTAAACTACTTGGGAAAAGTATAAGATACAAGGCAGTGTGTGCTCAACACAATTCTTTTTATTTTTATGCTAAGGTCAAAGAAACACGTGAACTCTACATCATCTACCTTACTGATTATATTATCGCTATCAGGTTTGAAAGTAATGAGAGGGTGTGTTTTTTAACCAGTTTTCTTATAAATCAAATAAAGAAGTCAAATTTTATAAATAGAAAGTAAATTATTAGCATGCATTAGTACAAATTTATGAAATAAGTAAAGTTCGAATGAAAAATCAAAACTTACTACACATTTTGTCTTATCTGTTGGTTCTTCTGGAGATGAATTTTTCTTTTCATCCACAACTGCTCCTTCTAGCAGAGTGCGAGAAATTCTCTGAAAGTAAAACCATTTTCTTATCTTAACAGTTGGCAAAGATATCTTTATAAAGCCTTTATTTTTAATGCTGTGTTTGAAATGCAGAAGTTAGAGATAACTACTATATATATATATATATATATATATATATATATATATATATATATATATATATATATATATATATATATATATATATATATATATATATATATATATATATATATATATAAATATATATATATAAAACCCAGGATGATAAATAAATTGTTAATTTTTTTAATATATTGAGAGCTGGGTGACTTAGGGATGTCCTATGTGTTTTTGAATGTGAGACACATATGACTGCTAACCAAAAGTCTCAAGTTCAAATTCAAGTTTGTAGAGTCAAACCAGCTGGCCCAAGTTGAAGCTAGGTAAAGTAAAGGCAGCTGGGAATAATGCTGACCCAACTATGACACTATCCCTTCATGTGCAGAGGTCACAGAAGCAGTGAATTCTACTTTACAGCCCTATGGACTGTCAGATTTGAAAGGGAACTTTACTTTACGACTTTCTGAACCAATAAGGGGGTCATCCATTAATCATAATGACGTCACGCTTTTTTTGACGATTTTTTACCTCCCCCCCTCCCCTCCGTCACACGTCGTCACAAAAAGCCAGACCACCCCCACCTAAAATGACGTCACACCTCAACCTACAACCCCCCTCAAAATTGCAGTTTGAATTTTTTTAAAACATCGATATTTTTCCAAAATCTTGTCTAAACTATTACAATTTATTTAAAAAGTTATCTAAAACGCAAAATAATGTCTAAAATTCGTTTTCTAACATTGCTTTTTTTATAATGCAAAAATGTGACGTCGCAACATCTGAACCCCCCCTCCCCCTCATCACACATCGTCACAAAATTACGGGACTCCCCTTACGAGTGTGACGTCATTTATGGATGACCCCTAACAGTTGAGTTAGAACCCACATTCCTTAATTAAATGGATGACTCCTAAGTAGTAAGTAGGGCCTAAGTAACTAAGTAAATATTTTAAGTTTACATGAAGTTTTTTTTAGAGCTGCATCTTGTTCTTCAGGCCGCGTTCTTCTGAGATTTGACATTCTTTAAAGAACTTTAATTAGGCTAATAGTTTTTTTAATTTTTAATACACAATCAATATTATTATTAACATTATATTTATTATATAATTAGATCTAGATCTATAACAAATACAGACATGTCACATTTATTTTTATTAGTCTCATTAGTGACATTAGTCATTTTTTTTACTTTAGTTTTACTAGTTTTAGACTTAGTCTTTTACTTTTACTAGACTCTTCTCACTCTAACTCTTGTATAGTACATAAATTTAATTTAAGAAATAATATTTAGATCTATGAATTAATTAACAGAAAGAATTAAGGGCAAGGCTTTATAGTTTATAGAAGACTATTATTTGAGTAAAATGGGACTCAAATAATCTATCACTGAAACTGAAATTCATTTATTCGTTGTTCATTTATAAAACCGAAAATACTTTTTAATGCAATCACTGTGAAAAACAAGAACTTTTTTAAAAAAAGATCTCCTAGCCCTAGCCTAATAATCAAAAAGTAAAAAAAAAAAAAAAAACCACTTTTGTGACTAGGGCCTACACTACAACCTCCCCACCCCCATTGCCAGTGTCGGATTAAGAAGGGGTGGGCTGAGGGGGACTATGCATGAGATACTTTTTCTGGCACATAAAATGATAAATGGGTTCATCAGCCTGTGTCAGAAAAAAACTGAATCTCATCAAAACAAACTAAAAAAAACTAGTTTTTACGACACGTTAATTGTTAACACAAAATGACCAGCTAGTGGTAGGCCTTAGCCCTATAGTCTATAGCCCTATAGTCCCCAAGAAATAGAAAATCGTATAAACCTACTGATCCGGCTGTCTAAACCGTTCGAAAACACGTTTTGTAAGGTAAGAATTGTGTTTTGAGTGTGTGTTGTTGGGAGTGGCAGGTCGGTTAGTAACGAGCCCACGTGTTAGCAACAAGGACATGAGTACCGAATTGAAGTCGTGAGGCCCTTAGGCTTATAGCTCTTATAGGGGCTCCCAAATGTTC